CTCGTATTGCAGGGCACGGTCATTGGCTAAGGCTGGAGCTCCCAGTGGCTGTGTCACAAAAAATTCTGTTGCATAATGACCCTCACCAGAGTCGAAGCTCACACAGAAGACTGAGACCGAATGAATGGCACCAGGTAAAAAAAACCTGTTGAGATTTTGCTGATGAACTCACTGCTTTGGGAGTCAGAGAGAGGTGGCATATACCGCCAGGTGGTTTGCCAAGTGTGGCGAGGGGACTATTATTATGGCTGCAGTTAGTGAGCAATGGGGCTCAGCAGACAGGGCAGTTCTGGGGCCTCATCCTGGTCTTATGCCCCAGCAACCAGGGCGAGGAGAAGTCTGGCCAGCAATTGACTTCCCTCTGAAAAGAATGGAGGTGGGCCTTGCTGTCTACTCCAAAAGCAGAGGGACCATCCTCAAGATTCTCCCCATACATACATCTATTAGGGCTGATTTGAGAGAGAGAGAGCAAGAGAAGACAGCAGGAGAGACAGAGAGGTGGGGTGGGGTGGGGGAAGAAAGGGAGACAGAGAAAGAAAGGAAAGAAGGAGGAGAAGAGAGAAGCAAGAGCACCCTGGACTGCTTACAGTCCGTAGATTGGCAGGTTACCTGTGTCAGGCCTTGCCGCTCATCCCTGCCAGAGGTCAACCTGGGACAGAGAGGGATGCACAGCCTGGGCCAGCTGCTGGAGTTAAAGATGCTAAAACCACTTTGGCCAGGAGGGGGCCCCAAATTTCACTCAAATTTGCACACCTCTGGGTAACAAGTCCATTAGACCTCACTGGTTATCCACCGTGCTAGGACATGGAAGGGACCAGAAAGATCACCAGAGACCGGGATACGGGAAGTGACTTCAAGGCCACAAAGCTGTGTTGTTGTTGAGCAGGACTAGAACTCAGGCTGGGCAAGTCCTGCTCCCAAGCCCTGTTCGAATAAAATCTTCTTCAACATCACTTTCGTCATCAGCATTTACAATTACCTGTGGAGACCCCAGAAAGTTAAAAACGACAACCATTTATTGAGTCTTTTTTACATAGAAAGCGTTGTGCTGGGTGTGCTGGGTGGTGGCAGGTGGCCCAGGTGCTGGGGGGTGGGGGTGGGGCGGGAAAGGGTGGTGACAGAGTTCAGGGTCCTCAAGACCCTCAGTGGCTTCTTACTGGTTTAGAAGGCACAACCTAAGCACAGCAAAGTTAAAGAACAATAAAAGATGTAAATAAGGCTCCAGTACAGTAGTGACTGAGCTGTCATAAAGCAAAGTACAGTTAGTAACCAAATGAATGATTAGCAATGGCCATAAACTTTCTGAGGAGGAAGAATGAAGTATACTGTGCCTTTGTTTAGCATCGGTTCTTTTCAGTGCCTTCCTGTATATCTACTTTGGGGTGGTCATGAAAACTACAGGGGAGAGGAGGTGGGTGGGCTCCGCATATGAGGAACTAATAGGCTTTGCATGCGCACAGATCTCCCTGGAGACACACATTCTACCTCCATGAGGGTCCAGGGAGAGTGTGATGTTTGTGTGAATGGAGAATTGGAATGAGGGACCCTGAGGTCAGGGGAGAGCAAGGTTCTAGATCTGCAGGTGCTTGTGAGTATGCAAAGAGTGCAAAGCATCCTACAACAATGTTTTTGAAAAATCAGATTTTCAGGTAGCAGTCAGTATGCATCTTTATTTAAGGTCCTTTCCCCCTTTATCCTAATTGTTTGGTATCTTCCTGATTATATTTTATCACTTGAAGTCACGCAAGGTCCTCAGATTGGAGTCATCCCCAGTTCATAGATGGGGGGCAACAGAGGGGTTTACCTAATCTTCTCCAGCACTGCCAGCTCCTCGAGCAGATGTTTTCAACATAGACCATCCAGTGCACCTACTATGTGCCAGACATGCTGGGATATTGAACGAACCAAAGTCTGTTCTCCAAGGAGTCTTCAGCCAGTCTCAACCATTTCTGGGATGTTCCAGGCCTATGTGAGGCAGGCACTCGGTGTATGTGTCTAGAAGAGCCTGGGGCACCGCTGGGGGAAAAGAAAAGGAGGTTGCAATGTCCCTAGGAAGAAGGGAGAGCCTGTGCCCTTTTATACTTAAAGACTCTTGGGCATATGGCTCCAGGAGGGAAGGGATTTTCGCCCACAGGTATAAATAACTTCTGCCAACTAATCCCCCGAGATCTTAGCACCATAGGGCTGGGGTGAGGGCTGGCACTCAGTTGCTCTCTCCAACTGAGGTGATTTGGGAGCTCAGGGGGCATTGGAAGCATTCAAGTTGTGCTTCAAGGCCCTGGATTTAGGAGATGTCAGGTTGTCTGGGGTTTCTCAGGCTGGAAGAAGGCCATCACCTTGTAGGCGAGCACTGAGTCACCTCTGTCTCCCCGCCCCCCAATCTCCCTCAACCTCTGGTGCTTGGGGTCACGCTCAGGTCCCGATCCGAAGCAGGGGGTGCCTCCGAGATGAGCTGACTGCTCTGACTGGCAAAAGGACGCAGGGCAAGCCAAGCCCCCTCTCCTCCTTTCCCTCCTACAGCTGACCGCCAGCTCCCCTCACCGGGGGCTTCTCAGGCTGAATTAGCATTTTTGAATGCTTTTGTGGTCCGCAGAGGAGGAGGGGCTGAGTGCCATTTTGAAACCTTTTCCCGTGAACCCACAGGCTGTCTTGACTCACCATCAGAGGCCCTGAGGGGAGCTCAGTGCTGAGGGCCTTTTCTGGGTCGCCCTGTGCCCACCCAGCGGCCTTGCTGGGGCGTGACGCCTGGACTCTTTTTTTTTTTTTATCGTTGAGCATCGCTGCCAGATCACCTTCTCCCAGGACCCCTGTTCCAGCATTTACAATCTTTATTTGTTTATCATCTTCTTTGATAGAGAAGCCCTGTGCTTACTGTCTCCTTATTTCCTTCTCTGGACCTCACTCCCTTCCCTGACCCTTCTGCAGGAGGCACTGTCCTCATGGCTCTCTGCCTGTCACCAGCTGGTTCAGGCTTCAGGTTACACGTGTCACATCTCCTCACTCCACCTTTCCTTCTTCCACTGATCATTCATTCAACAGGTTATTACAGAGTGTCTACTACTGTGTGTAAGTTAGTGTGCCCAGCTATATGAGGAGTGCAGAGAAGTATAACTTAAAGCCAGTCCCTCTGCACGAGGTGCTTCCAGAGGAAAGGGAGTGTGTTATGGACAAATACGCACATGTCCCGGCAGCTGCTGGCCTGGGAGAGCTCAGAGGAGGCTGAGTTTTCCCAGGTGCTCCAAACCCTGCCCATCGCCCAGGGTCCAGCTCAGGGACAGCGTGCTCCATGAAACTCTCCTTCATTACCTCAGGCTTCCATTTCCTTGAGTCCTAATCACTTTAGATACAGTCTAAATGGGGTCCCCAATTCTCAATTGCACTCTCTCCTCTTGAGGGAAGGGACAAGCATCTGTCAACAGGATTCAGTTTTCAGTGCCACAAACAGTAATTGGATTCTCTCACTCTCTTCTGTCCCTAAATGCCTTTGCAAATGAGCATAGTGTAGGTGTTCAGTCAATCCTAAAATTCAGAATTTTAGAGAGGAAATTTTAAAAAATTGTTTTAAATGTCAAAATCTATATATGTTAATTATGAAAAACAAAGAACTCAAAATATCCCCACAGGAATAAGTACTGTTAAGAGCTTGGAGTGTATGTAGGAAGGAATCCTAAAAGACAGTGTAGTTCAGCACCCACATTTTACAAATGAGAACAATAAGGTGACTCTAAATATTCACACAAGGTCAAATACGGAGAGAGTGGCATTGCTTGGTGTTCTAGCACCCTTCCCCAAGAAGGCTGGAGGAATAGCGGGGTACTCTGTATGAACCAAATGTGTGAATAAAGTCTTAGATTGGTGCATGGGTTCTGACATGCACCAATGCACAGAAGAAAATATTAATGCAGTTAATTCAGCTGTTTCACCTTGGTCCATGGCCACAAAGCTTTATTATGATTGTGAAGCAATAAGTTTCATTGTCAAAACACTACCTCTTTAAATATATTTGAGACTAGAATGGGAAAAAATGTTGAAATAAATGGGATTAAATCGAATTAAATAGTAATTGTTCTCTAGATCCAGGGACAGACAAGTGGTTTGGAAAGTCAGTTTTCTACGCAAGAGAGAGAGGTGGTGGGAGAGCCCAGCTCATCTGGGCCCAGTGATGAGCTGACCCCCAATCCAGTGGATTTTCCCACCATTGTGAGCTCCCTTCCCTCCTCCCCTGCCGGGAGGAGGGTCCCAGGGGAGCCCCGGGCTTAAGGCAGTGGTGTTATGCAGAGTCTTGTAACCTCTCTGGTAAATGATGTCACAGGTTAGTTACAGAGGCCCCAATCGATGGACGACTCAGGCAGCAGATCGATCACATTTCCAAGGAGAAATTGATCCTTTGTGACCCGCGTGGGGGGCAGGTGGTTTATCAAAAGAGGTTCAGGCTTGAAGGATTTAATGCCAGCCCCTTCTCCATTCCCCATGCCCTCTCTTCCTCGGGCGGCCTGGGTTGTAACAGCAGGGTTATAAACTATTTTTCACTAAATAGATCTGGTGTATAGGAGTGAGAGGGCATGTAAAGGTGTGGACAAAAAACACAAATCTGCTCCAAGACGAATGGCCAGGGTGCGGGCACGGGGGCTTCAGTTCCCCCCTCCACCCCTCCCGCCCCTTCTCTCTCTCTCTCTCGGAAGCCACCCAGAGTTTCTGGGCCCCGCGAAATAGCCCAGGGCTGTGCGAGGCGGCCGACTGCGGTCTCGAATCCACGGGGGCTCGCTGGCCCGCCCTGGCCTGTGCGCCTGGGCTGCAGCCCCCTCCTCGTCGCCCCTCCTCCGGGCCTGGAGCCCCTCCCCGCGCGCTTCCCCTCTCTCTCCTCCCCTCCCCTCCCTTCCCCGCTTTGCCTGCCGGGCCCTGCCCCCGCCTCTTGCTCCCACAGTCTCCGCCAGCGCCGAGCCCCCCGGAGCCGAAGCACCGCGAAGGGGCGCCGCCTGCCCCTCCCCGGCGCGCTGACAGCAAGCTCCCGGGTCCCCGCCCAGTCCCCTCTCCGGAGGGACACACCCCCGCCCCTCCTCTGCTCCGCCTGTTCCCGCCGGACCCACCGGGCGGCGGAGAGAGCGGGCGGGCGAGCCAGAGAGCGGCCGCGGCGCGGGAGGGAAGGGGAGCGCGGCAGGCCCAAAGGGAGCCGCCCGGGGCGCACGGAGCCCGCGTGCCCTCTGGGACCGCCCCGGCCGGTGCGGTATCCGTAGGCGCCCGGAGCCCGGGCAGCGGCGCACCCGGCCGAAGTGGCGGGTGGCCCCGAGGACCTTGGAAGCAGGAGAAGGAGCCGGAGCCCGGACGGGATGAGAAGGTGACGCCGCCGGGGGGCGCCACTCGCTTTGTGGGGGAAGATGCTCGCCTACTGCGTGCAAGATGCCACCGTGGTGGACGTGGAGAAGAGGAGGAACCCCTCCAAGCACTACGTGAGTACTGCCCCAAACGACTCTGTAGGGGGCTTACTAGGGACCCCTGGGCCGTTCCTCGCCCCTCTCTGCTGTTAAGTCCCGAAGCTAAGTGCCCCCAGGGCAGCCCTCGTTGTGGAGTTTCTTTGCGGGGCTGTGCTTTCCAGGGAGGTTTTTTCAGTCCTTCCTCCACTCACTGCCTCCCCCAGCCCCGCGTTTTCTTTTTTGGCTTTGAAATTGGCAATTGGCTGCCCTTGTCTGTTACAGCGGTGAAGTCATCTGTCCGCCTGAGCGTTGATGGGTGGTGGGGGAGCGTTCGTCAGACCTTCGCCGGGAAGCGCTATTAGGAAAGAGCACCTTCGCGGCCCTCCCTGGGGGCTCGGGTCGCTCTCGCTCGCACAGAGGGACGCTTTCCGAGGCCGGAGCCTCGCGCTCGCCCCACGTTCGCGCTGGTCTCTGCCTCCCTAGGCCTGGGTCTGCCGGCAGAGGGAAGCCGCCGCGCCCCCCGCCCACCTCCGCCCTCCGCCCTGAGCTTTGATTTCCTTCTTACAGTCATTGTGTCTGTCGGTGTGAGGAGAATTGTGGCTTTTCCTTTTATCCCTACTCTGGACGTGACCCTTAACCGGGTTCATTTCCTCCAAAGTGATGATCCATCTCCAGACACGAGGAGGCAAATGTTTGCTGCGGTCTCCGAGGAACGGCTGCCCCTCCCCCTTTCTTCCCCAAACTTAATGAGAAATGGCTAAGGTTGATTGAGCCTAGCTCCGGAGGCTGTGTGGCTTGGCCGCCTTTCATCTCGGCCAGTCCTGTCTTCCCATCCTTCGCACCTTAGGAAGTCAACCGGGTGTCCTTGACGCCTGAGGACGCCCAGCTGAGCAGCCTGTGCTCCTGTACTTGACGCAGAAGAGGCAGGCAGCCGGGCTACCAAAGCAGAAGGACTGCATCTTATTTGCAAATTAAGCACTTAAAGGAGCTTTTAGACTGCTCAAAGCATTAATTTTAACAATTAAAACAGGCTGTTGGTTGCTGCCTAGACTGCACATTGATCTCTGAAATGCCTTTCATTTCCCTGTGGGGAGGGAACTGGGGTTTATGCTGAACTGGGGTTTATGCTAATGTCAGCCTCAGGGACTCTCTGCCTTTGTCACCAATAGCTCTGAACTTGAGGTTTGTTGCAGGAACAAATGGGGCTGGGCTCAGGGTGGAGAAGAGGTAAACTGTGGGGGCTGGTTCCTGAGTAGGCAGAGAGGTAGGTGGGTGCCCAGGGAGGACATTCTCTGACACGGTGTAGAGTTGTTCCTTTTTCTTTTTTTTAAAGATGTTATTTATTTATCTTTAGAGGGGAAGGGAAGGAGAGAGGGAGAGGGAGAGAAGTATCAATGTATGGTTGCCTCTCTTGGGTCCCCTGCTGGGAACTGGCCTGCAACCCAGGCATGTGCCCTGACTGGGAATTGAACAGTGATCCTTTGGTTCACAGGCCCATGCTCAACCCACTGAGCTACACCATCCAGAGCATCCTTTTTCATTATTAGGCTCAACAAGCAACTTCCTCTGCTTTTCAAGAAAGCTTTCTGGAGGACTTAGGTCACCAGGTGGTCATCCTGCTCCAGGGACAGAAGTCCTTTTGCATTGCACATCCCAGCACTTACTATCAGGTCACCTTCCTAACTCCCCCCACGCCCCGAAATGTTGCAGGCTAAGTTTTAGGGGTTCTCTTTTCTAGTCCCCAGTTAAGGTTGGTGCTGCTTTCAACAGATGGCACTCTCTGCCCTGAGACCCTGGCACGTTCTTGTCCAGCTCTGGGTTTTAAAGAAAACATCAAATCTTACCAGTCTGACCAGTGCGGTGCAAGATGACAGATGCAGGACGTACTGGCAGCAGGCCAGGTGTGGCACTCAAGCGACCGGGGACCCACGCAGGGAGCTGAGAAGTAGTCCAGCGCTGGGGCTTTGGGTGACTTCAGGAGGGTTACCTAACTCCCCGGGGCCCCAGTTTCCTCCTTTTTAGAGCGAGGGTAATAATAGTGCCCACTGCATAGGGTCGTTGGGGGAATGAAGTGAGGTCATCCATGTGAAGTGAGTCGCCCAGTTCCTGGCACGTAACAAGCAGTCATTAAATGGTAGCTTATTTTTGGTGAGGTTCCGACTAAGGCAGCACTTTTGAAAAGCAGCTATTAATGGTCTGGCAAAAGGGAAGAGAGATTTTGGGTTTTAAGATTGATAATAACTTGTTTTATGTGAAAAATACAAAAGAAGTCTTGTCCAGTTCCCTTGAAACGATCATTTCAGAGATGTTTCCCAGGACACCTCGGTTTCTCGCACAGAAATCGACATTATGTTGGGGCAGAGAATGATGTCACCGAATAGATGGGGTCATACAGAGCCATGAACTAACACTGTGGAAAACAGTTAAAGGAGAGAGTGTCTCATGTTGTGAAGTTGTGGGGCTGGCAGGGACCCGCAGACTCATCGGGCTCAATTGCATCATTTTGCAGATGAGGACACTGAGGGGTCACGTGTCCCAGATGGGGTCAAGTCTCAGATGGGGCCAAGTCATTTACAGCACAGCTAGTCACAGCCCCTGGGTCTGACTGGCCTTTTGCCTATCGTGTGGATTTTGTTCATTGACGTATCCTACATCTAGATGGGGTTCACCAGGAAGGCAATATCTGGTGGTAGCAAGAGGTCCCTAACACAACTGGAGGGTAAGTGCACAGTGTTTAAGGAGAAGGTGCCCAGTAATAATAAAAGTGTAGGTGGGGCCCACAGCAGCAGGAGAAGCAGGTTGGGGAGGCTGTGCCTCTGAAGCGCAGGGTTTCCTTCTTTCTCGGCTCATGCACGGTGGACACCACACTGCGGAAGGTTAAGTGTCCTGGGCAAGGACATTCTGGGTAAGGCAGTCCGGTGTGGGTAGCTGGCAGGACACCCTGTGCCCAAGTCGCATATGGTCTGGAAGCCTCTGCACTGGAGAAGCATGCTTTCTTCCCACCTCTCCTTCACTGATGGTGAATTCTGAGTTTGTGTTTTGGCAAATTGCAGAACAGAGAGGTTTTATGGGACGTGCACATTAGCCAGAGGGAGCTGATGAGAGGCCTGGGGTCCAAGCGGGGAGGGCTCTGCTGGCTCCAGAACGCTGGGAACACAACGCAGAGGTTCCCTCAGGACATCCAGCAAAGGGCGTGCCCTCCCCACGGTGAGGGGGAACTGCCTGGACACTGGGGGTCTGTGCTTTTGGTCTGTTTATGAAAGGCAGGCATGTGGCCTTCATCTTTGGGATGGCGCTGTCAGCCCCTGGCTTCCCTCCTCTCCACCAAGCCCCTGCCCAGGGAGAGGTTAGTGGAGGGTGGGCAGCCGCTGCCTCGGCCAGGCCCCCTGGCATGGAGTTGTGCTCCTTTCTCAGCTTATGTGAGCTGCCCCTGGGGAGACTCTAGGTAAACTGGCTTTGGCCCCAGACGGCATGTGTTTCAAATGACCCTGATGATGCTGAGTGCAAACAGCACATGTCTTCATTTGCAAGTTTTCCACGAGGCTGTGGGTCCAGGCCCACAGAATTCTTTGCGCACACGTGTCTGTGTAGGTGTATGTCAAGTCACGAGCTGGTGGGAAGAAGCTTGTTTATCTAAAGCAAACAAGAAATTATTTGTTTGGCTTTGGGAGGCGTTGTGCTTCCACTCTTGTTTCCTCTCCTGATTGTTTAATTCAGACAAATACCAGTCGTGAATGTTCTGATCCTCTACAGGACTCTTTAGGGAATGCAAATAATAGTCAGCGTTGGCATTTACCATCGGAGCCAAATGTTTAATGTGCCTGATTTCTTGGGATCCTACCTTTCACTGAATGTACTGTAACATGGTGTTGGTTCTTTGGTGTCTTTGTATTGATGGGTTAACTGAGTCTTGGAGAAGTTAGAGATTGCTCAGGGTTACCTAGCTGATTAAGGCAGATCTGGGTAAACTCAGTCCAGTTTACCTGCAAGGGAGGAAATGAACTTGAAATGGGGCCCTTCCTCTCAGCTGGTGGGGAGACCCGCCTCAGACCTGCAGGGCAGTGAGAGAGCAATGCAGGGTGGTGCTCGGGGACTGCTTCCCTGTGTGGGACATTCACCCCGTGCCATGGAGGGAGGTCACCGTGAGGCAGCAGGAGTGGAACAAGCCCAGGATGACACCTGTGGAAGTAATGCATTCTCCTGTGTGAGAAGATCATTACCGGTTTTTCTCAGTCCTGGGAGCTGCACGTTTAGGAGCTGGCCCCAGACCTGCTCAGTTCCTAGCCCGTCAGTTTTTCTCTGGGCTCTCAGACTGTGGATCCGGCCCCACGGGAGGAAGGACGCGCGGTGGTGGCCATGGCGTGGGAAGGGTCTTTTCAGGGCTGGTTCCCTGAGGGAATGAGTGGTGGGGGCAGACTAGGGTTTGAATCCCACCTCGGGCTCTTCTCGCTGCACAGCCTGGGGCCAGCCACACTGGGCCTCAGCTTCCTCACCTGTAGCTTCACAGAGCTCTGGGGAAACTGACCTGAGACGCTTTGGAGTAAAGCTTCCCCTTAGTCCCTGGTCCCCATCGGGAGCACTCAGCACACACTAGTTTGCATCTGGCGATCGTGATCACCAAGACGCCCGAGTGCAGTCAGGACCCCATAGGTGAAGCCGAGAGAAAAAGAAAGACTGAGGCAAAAAGAGAAGGCCCAGCTGTTCACAGTCGGATGGGAAGTTGGGCTTCATGCCCCGTGGAAAACACCCAACGTACAAGAGCAACAACATAAGCGAGGAGCAGCTGTTCCGATCTGGATGGCTTCCTGGTGAGTCGGGAAGGAGTAGGGATGAGCATGTGTGGGGGGAGAGGAGTGGAGGGGTGCTCCGGGAAAGAGCCAGGCTGAAGAGGGTCCTAGGCCCAAGGTCAGTGCCACACACAGGTTAGCCCGCTAGCCTGCTTTCTCTCTCTCTGCCATGCACACGAGAACAGCTTCTTCTCCTTCTCCAAGGAAGGAAATGATCTAGGGGTGATTCACAGGTCTGACAAGGCTCCC